CTATTCGACCTTCTTCTCTCTCCTCACAACTCATGCACCACCCCGATCCCCAGTTCCCTCACCTTCTCTCTCCCACTCATGCCTAGCACCGCGCCGCCGACCCCCCCAATCCCCCTCACCTTCTTCCGCCGTCGACGCCAGCCACCAGCTCCGTGTCGGTCGGCCACCCGCCACCGACCGGCCTCCCACCGCATCTAGCGCCCCTGACATCCCGCAGTGCCCCGCCCCACCATGCTACGACTCGCTCGCAGACCAGCCGTCGCCCTCGACGCCAGCCAGCTCGGTCGCCTCCTTCCCCGCGCCGCACTAACCTCCACAGCACCGGCGATGGATCGAAGCAGCCTCGCCTCCCCCGTCATCAGATCCGAGAGGCCCCGACCACTACGCGCCGACCCTGCCATGGATCCGGTGAGATCCACTGTCACCTCTTCTCCAGCGCCCCGATGTGCCGTGCCCCTGCCCTCCGGTGGTTCCCCGGCGACGGATCCGGCTGGGTCTAGCCCCTAGCCACCTTCCTCCTGCCCTCCCGTGGTGCCCCCCTCCGCCGACCAGCGCGAGGTGCTCACCCGGTGTGGTAGTCGCCAAGGCGTCCCCTCCCACGGATCCGGCGGCCATGGCCTCCGCTGGCTCCTCTAATGCTTCCTCTATGCAGTTCGACAGAGCTCCGATGGCTCTCCATCCACGGATTCGGCCGTCCCCTGACCACCGGACCACTGATGGCGAGTTCCTCCGGTGAGATCTTCTCTGACGTCCTGCACTCCGCAGCTGCTCCCGCGTGTGTGCAGTGCACGAAGAGTGCGCGTGCAGTTTCTTTGGCGTCGCAGTGCCGCTCTCTTCTTCATCCCGAACAGTCCCCCCTGCGCCCTACCTCCAACTATAGCATGACGAGGGCGATGGGCATCCCCGCCGCCTCCATGCGGCGACCTCCCTCCCCAAGCTCGTCGCGGTGGCGGAGGAGCGTTCTCATGGCAAGGGGAGGTGCGTGCGCACGGGGCTCCACTGGCGGCATCTGCAGTTCACTCCATGCAAGATGAGGTGCTCCTCCTCGTGGACGAACAGTTCAGAAAGAAGGATTGTGCCTCACAGTATGCAGGTGTTGTGGTCTTGCAGCTCGGAAATGCTCGCGATGCCGTTCAGTGCTTGAGCCCGTGCAGTACGGCGTGCGCCATCTCTTCCCATTGGTCGGTGGACCATGGCCGTGCAGCTCGGAGATGCTCGCCATGTGGTTCTGGACTTGTCTGTGTGCAGTCGGGAGAGTGCCATCTCCATCTCTTCCCGTGTGGTCCGTCAACCATGGTTGTGCAGCTCGCAGACGCTTGTCGTTCGGTTCAGGGCTCATGCGTGTGCAGTCCTGCGAGGGACATCTCTTCCCTTGCTCGTAAGGTTCTTTTGATTCTGTTCTGCTAATTGAGATTTTGTTTTTTCGGTTGGTTTTGCTGGTGACAGGGGTTCTGGAGGTACCTTCTGAAGAAGAACCTTGATGCCCGGTGGCTGCAAGGGTTCCATTGCGTCGTGTTTGGGATCGGCGATTCAGGCTACAAGGGGTACAATATTGCTCTTCTGACTATGATTTCCTAGCTTGCTGCTGCGCTGTGTGCTGTGTTTTGTTGATACAATGATGCTCATTGATTTGTTGTGCATGCACGTACTGCAGGTTGCTGCAAAGAAGCTCCGTACAAGGCTTTCACAGCTTGGTGCAAAATCGATCATGGTGATTGGATTGGGAGATGACCAAGACTCTTCAGGGTACGTTGTTAGCATCTATTGTTTGTATTTGCTATCGTTGATGTTCATTTGCATGTTGTTGAGATGTCAAATTTTATATTTGTCGTGCCTATCGAAATTCCAAGGATTATTTTTCTTCTTGTTGGAAAGCAATTCCTCATAGTTACCAAGTGATTCCTTTTCTTTTTGCTGTATACCAGATATGAAAAAGCTCTAGGTCCTTGGCTGCTCTCTTTCTGGAAATCACTGAATCGAACAAATCCGTCGCTTTTACCAAGAATTCAGGCTCGTCCGCGTTGTGTCCGTGCACATCAGCGCCTCTACCACAAACATTCAGAAAAAAGAGGATTCCCCTAGTGTGGAAAATGGATAGATCTGGAATCTACTCCTCACAATGGTTATATGCTGCTTTCAACTTCTCTGTCTAGTGAGTTGTATTTTGTGTGTGGATGATTGTAACATGGAGACAGAAGAAAAGAAAGGGATGCAATTTTGTTGCACTCATCGTGGGTTATTGCTCAGTTTGTAATTTCTTTCATTGTAAATGCAGTGCGCTCGGTGAACCGAAGAAGTACATTTTTCAAAGTATTGTAGCTCATTTTTTAAAAATAATTGTGGTTCACTATGCATTTAAAAAAATCAGTACACTTGAATCCAAAAATCCTTTATACTTTTTAAAAATACAGCAAGAAAAAACCATGCAGCTCGCTTTGATTTATGTTGTGGTTCAATTCTCTCAAAAATTAAAAAGCACTCATATGTAAAAAAAGCAAAAATGCATCCGGAGTTGCAGTGCACTTCGTCATCGCGTGCGGTGCACTACACTCGGCCTGGCAGTTTAGATGAAACTACAAAATAAAATGTTAGCAAAAATATTAATAATCCACTTCTCTGCCTAAACACTGCAGTGCGGTATTCAGGTTGAAGCAGTGGATTTTTTTGTCCAATGAAATACACACGACAATCTTGGTCTCGCAAAAAACAGAATGTCCGTTTTTTGGTAAAACCAAAATTGCTCTTAAACCGTAAGGAACTAGCGGAAGTGTTCTACATGAAAAAGTTGCGCCTCGTCGATATCTTTCCAATGGCGTATAATTTGAATCATTTCGACCAGCGGTTTGTGAAAATTTTACGAAAAACGGCCGCTGCCTCTCGTCTTCAGCCGCACGATTTTCAAAATTAACTAAAAACCATAAGGAATCTCAAAAACATTTCAACATATGAAAGTTGCGCCTTGTCCATAGCTTTTCAACGGCGTATCACACGCCACGTTTCGATGAACGGTTCAAAAACTGGATAAAAACAGTACGAAAATTGCTAAAAATTCGAAAAAACAGAATTCCGCGATTTACTAAATTTAAAACTGCTCTTAAACCGTAATGAATTAGAGAAAATAATACATATGGAAAAGATGCGCCTCGACGATATCTTTCCAATGATGTATCATTTGCTTCATTCCGACGAGCGGTTTGGAAAAAAACGTGAAAAAACGCTCGCTGCCACTCGTCATGCGCCGCACAATTTTCAAAACTGCTCTTAAACCGTGTGGAATCTCGAAAAGTATTCAACATGTCGAAGTTGCGCCTAATCCATAGCTTTTCAACGATATATTACACGCCTCATTCCGATAAACGGTTAAAAAATTAGAGCGAAAACAGTACTGAAAAAATAACACGTGCAGTTTTTTTCGACGAGAAGTTCACTAGTCTATATTGCAGTGCTCGTCGTAAAGAAGATGCAGTGCACTTGCGTTCAGCGTGCAGTGCCGAAGTGGTGTGCAGAATAGTTATTCTGCTAATATTAGCAGAATAGACCGTCTATATATATTAGGAAAATGGGTTAGTACTCCTTTTGACTACAGAGAGAACAATATAATCTAAAGATCATAGACTACATTATACAGTACTTTTCACCACAGAAGCAGTGGCCTGGAAAGAATAGCAGAAGAAGAGGCCTTCACATATATACAGTAAGCGATGATAACCCGCTTCTGAGTACAGAGATAACAACAAAGTATAAAGATCGTAGACTATATCATATACTACTTTTCAGCATAGAGGCAGCAAGTTAAGACTAAAGCGTACACATATCTTCCTTGGAGCACGCCAAAATGCGAAAGATCCTTGTCTGATCGATACGAAACAAAAGGTGCCTGACTTAGTAAGCACAGAAGCTGATTTAGTAAGCACAGAAGCATGATGTTCAAGACACATTGACCAAAGCTCACCAGAAACTATTTCTGGTTGCTTCGAGCCACTGCTCAAACTTCATAGCAATGTAGCGTAGCCTCTGCGTCAGTCCTTCAATGCTTGCCAGCGCTGTTTTCATAACTCCCTTGGTGCTATCCCGCCCTTTCAAATGCCGAGCAGTCGTTGTGTTTTCTATTTGGGCAGAATATGAGCTCATATACCTGACAGCGTAGTAGCATGTTTTGCGCAGCTTCTTGATTGTTTTATTTGATGCAACCAACCATTTGACCAGGTGCGTCACTTGATTTTCAAGCTTCTTGACATGAGTGTAGTGGTAGTCCCTCATTTCTTTGTCATATGCATTTTTCATGTATCTAATAGCTTCAATAGCAGCACTGTCTTCAGCAGCTCCATAGCTATCTAAGATTGCACCTGATAGAGAACTTGGAACAAGTGCACCATCGAGCAATTCTAAAGAAGAAATGAAAGTAACCGTCACACGATTCTTTCCGCCTGGGCATATCTTGTGATAATAAGTTGCAAGGGGTAACTTCAGAGCTTTCAGCATCAGGGCGAATATGTGGGCATAAGGAATTACTATCAGATAGTAATTCTCATGTACAAGCAAAGTAAGGGTTAAATTTTTGTCTGACAAAATAATAGTTGAATCGACAAATGAGGATTTCAATTGGGCATGGTAGTTTGATTGAGTGTGAGGCCCTGAGTTGTTTTATTTAACTACATAAGAGAAGTTTCAGGTAGGCCTGACATTCTTGTAGGCGCCACTAATTGTGAGGATACATGTGTAGAGTTACACAATTGAAACAATGAAAGAACAGAAGACTGACCAAAGACACCCTTTCCAGAATGCAACACATGAGGAAAATGTCCAGGAAATAAATATGATTACTACAACTTCACCTCATTCAAAACAATCAGGATGAGTTCTGGAAGACCAATTTCCACGAACCTAGCTACCTATATTTCATTATGCATGTATCTTTTATTCACTCTTCCAAGAATACAGAAGCAAGGCAAATAAGCCGGCGATGGAGCAAAACTGAAAGCCAAGTTTATAAAGACCAATGACTGAACTACAACTGGTGATTAGAAGATTACAATGGGCGCAGGCGTTGCTGTCCTTGATGCTGCTGATCCTGGGGAACCGTCGTCACAGACGATACCAATGTCCATGTCTTCCATTGTGAGATTTTTGATCTGAGATTGAAGAGGGATAGTGCAGTGAGGAGAAAGCAAACGAAGCAGGAAATCGAATATTGTTGTAAGAGTGTGAGCCAATCGGTGTAAGAGTGTGCGTTAACATATTGTTGTTCGAAAAGAATAGCTCATATATTATATGTAGTAAGTACATTAGGTTGGAAATGATGCACTAAGTCATGTAGGATGGCCAATGTCTCGCAGAAAGATAAATAACCTTTTTAGTTGTCTCACAAATATGAAATAACGATGCTCTTTGAATAAATGAATATTGGTTTCTGTAAGAGGAATTGAAGTAAATGTAATACTAAATGGAAAAACAGAACCGTGCCTTGCAAATGTTTGTTTTTTTACGTAAAGGAAAAGAAACACCTTTTCTTGTGAGTAACAAAAGGAATTTTTTTTTAAAGAAACACCTTTCTGTTCTGCGTATATGGAGATAAGTATTTCGATGGCCCATATGTTATTTAGCCCGGCCCACGAATAGCGACAGTCGTGGCCCGTGAAGAGCTGAATATGAAGCGGCAGCGAGTGGATCCAGCGAGCTTGTGTATCCCCTTTCTTCCTCGTCTCTTCAGTTCGGCGCCAGAGGCGTCTACATACGCTGGAAGCATGGATTTTACTACAAAAGGGAAGGCATCAACAAGCATAAGTATCTCAATTTTAGCCACCAATGCAGAAGACAGGTCATGTGCTTTTGTTCAAGCTATGCAATATTAATAATCATATATTTGTTTGCCCACAGGAATAATAATCGCAAGGTAGTCTAACCATTAGCAAATATTCTATTAAGGGAAACAACAACACAATTAAATGGCAGAAACTCTAAAAGGGGCAAATAGTCATTGGCTTGAAATCATCATCTTGCTCGTGAGCAAATAAACACGATTGTTTAATTATCTCATAACAAGCTAGATCAAAAGCATTAAACAACCTAGGGTGTGCCTAGCCTTACAGAATATCATAACACATACATTTGGTGGAGAAGGCAGACAATTATGTACTGTGAGCCAGTCACACTACCACGAAAACCATGATAAACCTTGATAAGACCAGGTTGACCATATGGTGGCAAAATCATCAAAGAGGTATATGGGGAAGAACTCATCGGAGCAAAGCCAATAGAACAATAAGTAGATCTCACTTACATGCAGCGCCAGCGAAACCAATCATAAATTTGGACCAGTGTTTCGGCGAGAAATTACTGCACAACAATGGCAACCGACCACAAGGCCTTTAAAGATGAATATAATATACTAAAACAACAGCAGTTCAGTTTCCGTAAGCGGAACAATGAAGAAATATATCGTATAAGTTTACTTAATTTGGTCACATATTGTAACCAGAAGTACTTATGTGCACAAAAAAGGAAGGCGGACTTTCCTTTGGTCTAATTTTCACAAATTAGTTCTGACTGCCTACTGAATGGAAGCTACTAAGTTGAGTAAAACCAAGCATGTATGTGATCTGACCATCGTCAACTGCAAGTAAACTAAGTAACTAACTATATGTACCAAAATGTACAAAGCTCAAGGTCTGTTAGGGAGACAAATAGTTAGGGGGACAAACACAACAAATAGAGGATGCACACCTGATGCCTGTTGAAGTTTGCTTCGGCCTCCCCTCAAGGACAAATCCAAAACAGAATCAGCAAGCATGTGTGCCTCCGTGGCAAGCTTTCCACATCTCCGTCTTTAGTGTATCAACTTAAATATTGACAATCTATGCACTCACAAATGGAGGTAATGGTAACAAGTAAGTAAAACACACATGCATGGTATGAGTCTTTGGCATCACCAATAAAATGAACTATGCACAATGAACATGGTACAGAAACAATCACAATGATGAATAAATAAATTGCTCTATCGATGGAATCCACAAACACCTCGGCAATACAAATTATATTGTATTTCGAATAGGAAAGCTAATCCAAACACAACCTTCAAC